TAGTTATTCTAATCCATATATTGAATAAATTTCACGCGGCATAATTCACTATGCTGACTACAGTAATCTGTGACGTAGTGATTACCAGTTTGATCTGAAAACGTTTTCCAGTCAGATACAACACATTACCACCAATTAGTACTTGTCATTCGTAACATAAAACCTCACCAAGGTAACTAGTCCACTAGTTGCTAGCCGGTCGGAAGCCCTGATAAGAAAGGAAGGTTAGGCATAGGTCTAGCAATCCTTTCACCCCGTAAAACCAATCTAACCGCTAAAGAAACTTCAAAGCACAAAAAATATACAAAATTAAATCAAATTTATTCATCTATGGAATCATGGAGACGAAATGATGCTGGTTGTTGAAGACCTACGGGAAGCTAGTTGGCCGATGTGTCTTCCCTTCTCTCGATGAAAGCGAAAGTAGGAATGGGGACATGGAATGTCCGCACCATGTATGAACCTAGCAAGGCTACCTGGATTGCAAAAGAGATGAGAAGGTATGGCACAGAAGTGCTAGGACTCTGCGAGGAATCTGAAGATGGAATGGAAATAGACTCTCCCAACTGTCAACTAGAGACGAGTCGATAATCTACTCCGATATCGTCACACGAACACAGCACACTAAGCTTTGGAGTGGCTATCATGATGTCACCAACAGCATCGAAGGCTCCCTCTCTCATGTAGTGGGAACCAATCTCCTCCTCCAGGATCAGGTTCATGACAGCAAGGTTCAACTCAAAAGAAATGAAAGTCAAAATGATTCAATGCTACTCTACACACCTACAAATAATACAGACACAGACGGAGAGAAGAAGGAGGAATTCTACAGACAACTGCAATCAGTACTGGACAAGAACCCAGTTGGCAGTGGTGACATCAAAATCCATTCTGATGGGTGAGGTGACATGAAAGCCAAGCTGTGAGCAGACAACACAGGAATGGAACCAATCATGGGTCGAGAAGGAATCGGCGAAATGAAGGAGAATGGAGAACTGTTTGCAGAATTCTGCGCATCCAATGACTTAGTGATTGGAGGCTGTGTGTACAAACACAAGGATATTCACAGAGCGACATGGATTTGATTTCACCAGTCACTAGGACACACTACACTACACTACACTAAAAATCAGATCGACTTCATCTCAATGTGAAGAAAGTGAAGACACAGTTAGCCTACTGGACACAAGATCAGATCAAGGAAGAGGAGCAGATGTAGGTTCACACCACTCGCTATCTAGTGCAAGGAACCTGCCTACAAAACTAAGTTAAAAGCCTTCAAAGAAGTTGGTGATAGACCACAGTTCAAGTTCCACACCCAGAAGAGAAACTGAACTGAAGGACGAAACTACAAAGGACATCTTGACGTCAGCCAGTCATCAGGACAAAATGAGAGACATTGAGCGACATCCATGAAGAGACCTCCATAGAAGAACACTGGATCTCTTTGAAAGCTGTATGGAAAGAGACCTGAATAACTGTATTAGGAAGGAAGAAGAAGAAACAAGACAAGACAAGGAACGAATCTCGACGAACACATGGAAGCTGATAGCGGAGGGAGAGGAAGATGGTGATGGTGAGGCAGAAGATAAACCAGTGGTACACTGAAGGGATGAACAACGAGAAGAGGAACTGAGTACGACCTATAAAACACTACACTGGACAAAGAAGTGGAGAGGAGTGCACACAAAGACAAAAGACACTTCTACGACACATTGGCAAGTGAAGCGGAACAGACAGGCTGCTGGTAGGAGATACAGAGACCTGACAACATTATATCAAATAACCAGGTTACTGTCTCGTAGGGAAGAGGTTAACTCAGACGAAGCCAATGAAAGATAGTAAAGGAAACCTGGTTACCACCAAAGAGGAGAAGCAAAGGAAACAATGGGCTGACCACTTCAGAAAACTCGTCCAGAAATACCACCAGCAGCCCAGTCACAGAATCACCAGTGAACACAAGCCCTCCAAGTCCTGAACTCCATAAAGCTGCTGAAATGCAGGAAAGCAGCAGGATCATATGGAATTCCACCAGAAGCACTGAAAACAGACCCAGAGACAACAGCGGACATGCTCACGCCACTACTGCAGAAGGTTTGGAAGAAAGGAAGGAAAAATACCTACTGGCTGCCTGGAAGAAGGGCTATCTTATCAAACTCCCAAAGAAGGGAGACTTAAGTCATTGCAAGAACAAGAAGATGCACGGAATCATGCTCCTGTCCACCCACAGCAAAATATTAAACCACATCATCTTGAACAGACTAAAAGATGCACTGTATTCAAAATTACGACTGAAACAGGCTGACTGGTTGGCTGGCTGACTTCAAGAAAAACAAATCATGTACAAATCAAATTACAACGCCACGCTACACATCATCATCATAGAACAGAGTATAGAATGCCAGTCAACTGAATATTTACCTCAATTTCATCCACTTTGAAAACGCCTTCGACAGCATTGACTGAGAAGTAAATTGGCAGACAGCTGCTTCAACACTACGGTTTTATTGCCACAAACCCTTATCAACCTCATTCAACAGCAACTATATGTTATGTGATGAGGCTACATGCCAATTGATTGAGAACACAATGGAAAGGTGAGTGATGTGTTTTAAGTGAAGACAGTGGACAGGAAGGAGTAAGACAAGGTTGTCGCCTACTATCACCGATCATCTTCCTACTTATGGTCGACTGTACTGGATCATGCAACAGACAACTGTGAGTTGATGTGAGAAGGTTGGCATACGCTGTTTGACTGATGGTATGAAACAGCCTAGAATATTTAGATTTCGCCAATGATGGTGATTTATGTCTAATGTCTTGTTGCACAAACTCGAAGGTCTACCGGGCGAAACCAACAAGTTGACGAAGGAGGCAGGGTGGCAAAGACGGGACTTCAGGTAAGAATGGAGACGACGGACTACAGCAGCAACAAGTAGCTATCACCAATCATCATCAACAGGCGAAATTTAAATGAAGTTGTCTCTTTCACCTACCCAGGTACCATCATTTCAACTACAGGTGGCACATGAACAGATCAGGATTTCAAAGACAGCCAGGGTCGGAAAGACAGCAAGACACCTCTTCATTAATCTGAAATCAGTGTGGAGATCTACTGCACTGCACTCAGCATAAAACGTGAACAACATCCGGATTTTCAACACTAAGTCAGTCAAGTAAGTCAGTGCTTGCATGTGATGGTTGAGAGACCTGGTGTGTTACGAAAAGCATTTTCAACAAACTACAGACATTCATCAACAGCTGCTGTCTACACTCACTCGATACTGACACTGAAGATCAGATGGCTAGAATAATAAGAATAAACAACAAGGAACTCTGGCTGGCTGGCAACGAACCAACCAACAACCCATCACCCAACAAATATGCAGCAGGAAGTGGAGATGGATTGGATTGAACATACACTGAGAAGATAGTTTGGGGACATCACGCGTCAGGTCAGGTCAGGCCGTCGAGTGGAACCCAAATGGGAAACGACTAGTTAGGCGTTCAAGGGGAGGGTGTTATGGAGGAGATCGTGAGAGGAAGAAATGAAAGTTTGTAGGTAGTCGTGGATCCAGGTTGAAATGACTGGGGAGAAGGGAGTGAAATGTTGACGTGCAACTGAAGCCCTATTTTCCACTAGGAACCCAAGTGACAATAAGTAGTAGTAATAACAATTCAGAATTTAAAACACCGTAGTCAAATGAATTTCACCTAGTGAAATTTGAAAGCTTGAGATTTTTCTTGATACCGGATGATAACTGAAGAAGAACTTACAGTCTTGGCTGAGGGAGGAATTGAACCAGGAACCTTTGGGTTCTCGGTCCCAACTACTGCCCAGATTTTAATTTCACTTCAGTCATCAAGAGTATTATCCGCTTGTCATGTGAATTTGTGAAGCATTACTATCGCTAGATTGCACACCCATTGGCTGCCCAACCAGGACTTCTCATCCCAATCCGGCTGAGTTTGAGGGGGGTGGGAAGCATCATATTGATTATTTATATGGCTGCCTGATATAGCTGTGGTTCGGGAGACTTGTATTGATGCTCATTTACTAGAGAATCTAGCCGGTAACTCAAAGGTCGCTGGTTCGAATCCTGCCATTACCTAATTTTTTATTCCTTCGTCATTCATCGCCCAATATGAAGAATACATCGCTATCTCAGATAGTCACACTGATAGACAGGAATTCATTTGCATTTTAGGTTCAAAATCTAAATATTGATTATATTTCGTTAATGTTAACCATCGTAGACAAAGTAGTCATTCCCTACAAATAGCATCAATGTTCTTTTTGACTGTCGGACTTAACACCTATTATTCCAGGTGTTACAGCGGTACACATGCATTTTACAATGAATTCTGTTCATAATTAGATATCAGATCGTTTGATTGAATTACAAAATACATAGTCATATTGAAAGAGGGTTGAACAACAGTCGGAATTATTCAGCTGAGAATGCAGGTCTAATCGTGGAAAGAAGTCATCCTTCATAGCCGACTGGATCTAGTTCACAACTAAACATTGTATTTAATAATATCCAGTCAATCGAATATTTTTTCGAACAAAATCCACTTAGTAACGTTATACAAGAACGAAAAAACAATGGATAATAATAATAATAATCTTTATGGAATACACATCGTAGTAAATTTGATTCTGACTTGAGTAGACATAACAGATACAAACACACATGTACTGTACTGGAGCAGAAAGGTTACAAAAAGGAAGTAAACTCAAGGAAATCAATCAGCTTCCAAATGAACAACTTTTCACAACAACCACATTCATATAACATGTAGTGCCGACTTCTAATTGAGATTAGTGAGTAGTGAAAAGGGACTTTATTGAATTCACTAGAAATCTTTTATGAAGCACTGGCAGCTGTATATGAAATGAGTTGGCAGGATGAGAGATGATGGTAGGTGGGTTATAGGAAGTAATATGATTATGTTTACTGACAATATTGACGAAAAGAAACAAAGCATCATAACTACTATACAAAACTACCCGATTTCAATGCTGAAGACTTGAAACACTCCTCAGAAATGCATTCATCATTATTATGTGAATTGTGTTCATTTATACTATTCGGTGTTTTATTTATTTGTGTTGTATTGTTTATACTACTTATTTCAATTTTAGTATTAGATGAATCTCCTGATGGATTATTTAATAATCTCGGTGATTTTCTATTCATTGTCGGCAATAGTTGACAACACTGCGTAGATGAGGTGCATTGGTGATAATTTCGACTTAGTTGACATGATGCATTAGTCAATGGTACATGAGGATTTTGGCGATTATCAATGTAAGGAGATGAGATAGCTGATACTTGAGTGTTGGATTCATCAAAATTTTTATACGATTCATTAAGAAGTGACAGTCTGTCGGGTTAATCTTCTTAGTGTATTGGTTGTAAGTATCATGAAGACTAAGTGTCATATAATCTGATACAGAGATAATACCACTGTCACAAACAGTATAATTACGCGGTAGACGATCACAATTAGATCCTGCATGCTGATTGGTTACTGCGGCCTCATGGGTTAAATTTGTCAGTAAGCGCTTCTCATTATCAACAATACCAATGGTTGGAATAACAGTATTATGGGCATAGTCGGTTTCATTAGTATCTTGTCTAGAGAGTGACATCATATCAACAGAACTAACTACAGGTATAAATTGATTTAGTTGAGGATAGATAACTTTATGATACACGCTTTGACTGGGATAAATAGATTTCTTATCATACACCTTTTTTTTCAATGGATCTGTAGAACTGAAATCACTATGAAAACTATCCTCGATACCAGACGGTGGGATATACATGTTTACACCTTGTGGAGTAAACGAAATGTCTGGAAAAATGAAAGTGAAAAAATGAGATGTGAAATCAATCAAATTCAAGGTTAATAAGTGACTAAACTACAACCATGATAATAAATCAGTTCGAAGTTTCAAGTATATCAAAACCAATCACACATTTGAGTCAAGTTCAATTAAAGTTGAGTTAGCAGTCAGGCTGTGTAAATGTAAGTTGGAGGTAGCGGTTCAAATTTCTCGTGACCTAAGTTATCGATATCATGTTTTATACCTACATCTTTTAAAAATAAGAGTGTTCATGGCGAAGATATAGAAGACAGACACGTTAGAAAGAATGTTTGTCATCAACAATTGGAACGGTAGTCCTTACATATGGTACACCTTGCACTAAACCCGTCATTTGAAAAATGTGCTTTGTTTCCTTTTCCGTTTCTCTCTTGATTTGCTCTTCATACATTCTTATCAGCAGCATCCACTGTAATACGGTCTCAATAAATCCAGTTAGACCTTTTGCCGTAAACCAGATAGAAAAAACTAATTCAATCAAGGCACAAACTTCAGAGAGTAATTCGGTAAGAAATTATAAAAAGAAGGAAAAATTATCGATTCAGTCTGAAAGTTAACACAATAGATCATTCGAATGAAAGTTGCATTAATCCGGAGAGAGAAGAAAATCTACTTGACGTAAATGTGAATGATACTAGACAAATCAATGGACAAACCAAGAAATAGTTCATGCTGAATACATCATCAAAAGAAAAATAATTCAAAACTTCATTAGTAGATCGATCAAAGAGAGAAATCTGCGAAAACCACCTTCTCTTCATCCTAACAGAAATGATCTCTCTAAGTATGTCGAAACGATAAGTGTTACTCCAGTTTCTTCTTTAAATTAAATGAATCTACCGTCTTCATTAGTGTCATAAGCACTAGTTAACATAACTCACTTTAGTAAAATAACAGACCAGCCGTAATTTCAAAAAATATGTTTATTCATTGGTTAATTAATCAATATTGACTGGTGTGTTCAAATACTAGAAAACAGCTGTTAGAAATATATTTCAATTCACAGGAAACGATAAATTCTATGTGATTAAAACGATAGTCATATCAAAAAAATATGAATACTGAAATAGTTAAACCTACTCTTATTGTGGTTCAATGTGTAGACTTTTGAAGAGATCATAGTTTCAATACGTTTTGACATTTTGTTATTATTCTGTGAAGAAAAAAAGTATTTAAAAGTGAAAAAAAAACAATCAAGTTTACATTGTTATCGAATAAATATTTGACTTGGACAAAAACAAGAGGAGATATGAAAGAACTGGGTAGATTTCTAACTTTTTCTTGAGTGTATCAACCAGATTTCCATCGACTGTCATATATTAGAAATCAAGTACACCTACTGGTGGCTGGTATTACCTACAAGCATCCTGAAGGCAGTATTTTACGTCACTGATAAAAATATCTTATCATTATCGTCTGTTACCGAAGACAGTGTCTGATGAAGGCGCTTTACTCGAATACTAGTAATCTTATTATAGTCCAACAAGTCATATGTAATTTACTTATTTGTCTTTTGACTACCAGTTAAAATACCCCACATTAAATATTAATTACTAGGTCAAAGAACAATCTTTATTACGTTTTATTCAATTTTTATCAATATATTGGATTCTTTGTCAACAGTTCAATATATTTTTGAGATGGATGGGAATTTTTAATTCAGAAGTAGTGTCCATCACAGACTGACACCAGTTGGGGAACCACTGAAAATCTGGGAGCACTGGACAGCTGTTTCGTCCTATTATGGGAATCCTCAGCCGTACGCACCCAAAATCCTGCTAGGGATTGAGCTCAGGACCTTCAGGTTGCACGGCGAACGCGTGGGTCTTGGGTGCATACTGCTGAGGAGTCCCAAGCTAGAACGAAACGGCTGTCCAGTGCTCCCAGATTTTCAGTGGTTCCCCAACTGACGTCAGTGCATGATGAATACTACTTCTAAAATAGTTGTCGGGGATATTTTGTTTCTACAATTGTGATTCCTCATCAAGAAGTAGCTCTTCCCGTTAACTGCAAGTTGACTAGTTTATTCTAACCACTCAACACTCACACCTTAGTTTTTTATTTATAACTCCTGATATGACCTAATGCTTCGTGCAGTTGTTATGTTCCATCTGTGGTCACTGGTTGGAGCGCTGTCTACTAATAACGAAAGTCTAAGCAGGTAGTGAGTATCACTGGTCATCAGATAACCTGCTGAGCATACAGCTCGTAAAATAAGCCTGTACATGGTTGCTGAGTAGCACTGTTTATCAGTTTGTATTAATTGGTTCAGGGCCGATAAGTAATCACATTCATCTTCGTTATATATTCCTAACGGATATAATAAGCACGCTTAGCTGACAGCTAACTTCATACACAAGAGGCACCAACTGCAACCAGGGACGAATAGAAAAGAAGACCGAAGCTGGATGGGAGAGTTAATACCTACGAGAATAAGAATGACTTTCAAGTTAAATGATTAATCAAAGTTCTGTATTTTATGAAAATCTGCCTTTGCCAGCCGAAATGAAGAAACGTAATTGGTCATTTCGACTGTTACTAGGGTGGTTTTAAGTCGCTCGAACATAGTCAATCAATCAATCGGTTCAAAAACACATGAGTACGTATACACACGAAATATGACCTCCGCAAATCGAGGCATTAATAATAGTAAGAGTAAGGATCAACCAATCAGCGAATTACGTTGCAAATGGGGTGTAGAAAATGGACTGTTAGTCATGGTGTAAAAATGGTGTGAAAATGACAAGCATCAGCAGTCATCCAAAAGGATATTCCGGGTGATTACCGAATTACCCAAACAAGTAACACATGACAGATGTATAATTGTAAGACTGAAGGAAAAAATTACACTGACTGGATTATTTAAGAATACTAGGTTTGCGAGAGGCCTTGAAGGGATCGAGTTCGATTGAGGGAGGACTGCAGTCAACATGCCACCTCCAGGAGTTAATCAATCTCCAATCAAATAAGTGTACACCAGTGATTGATTCTAGTTTTTCTCCGTTAATTGGGTGCTGCTTAAGAGGTTACACAGTTTTTTTTACCGATATCAACAGGTTTACTTAGCGTCGCTCATTGATAAATCCTTGTTATATATATATATATATATATATATATATATATATATATATATATATATATATATATATATATGACTTCGTAGGAGTGGACTGTTTAACAATAACCTTAGACTTAACTCTAGATGATCACTCGATTTCTCGAAAACAGGAAAAAAGCAGCAAAAACGATATGGATTTGTTGTCCAGTAGATTATCTTCAAAAATTAACGGTTGATAGCCATGGAAAATTCTACACTTTTCTAGAGAGCCCTTCAACCAAGTAGAGTCTCACACGCATGATCGCATGGTTTTTCTCGAACACTCGGCGTGCTATGAATGGCTATGAAGGCTTTTTAAGGATTTCCAGGCTTATTTGAGGAATCTAGGAGATATTGTAGCACGCCATATCCCTTATTATCATTGATGGTTTGCAACGATGTGAAAAAAGTAGGAGGTTCGGTGGGATACCAGATACCTTACTGTATGAAATAATCCGAGGCTCTTTCGAGAACGTTTTTGGTAAACACACTCTCTCTGTACTCGAATAATGCATTAGTGTAGTGAACTGAAATGTAATAATGACAAATATGCAGTGACTAAAGCTGACTAGACATTATCAAGGATGAGAAGGGGGGGGGAGTGTGATACCGGGGAAGTGATATTGCTCATGCATAGGTTTTTATAATATCATTTCTTTACTTTCGACACTGGTAATGAAATCCATAATTCAGTGTTTATCCCATCTAGTACATAGATTACTGATTACTAAGCACATGAAGTAACACACACACAAAGAATAGCTTACCATCGGACGATTAGGACTGATTACAAAACGCATGGCATTACAAAATTGCCTCCATCTCTTGTTCGGACCCTCAAATTTTCTACCGTTGTGATCATTCTCACAATTTTTTTCCATGCCTAAAAAAGATTAGGTGCAAAGAAGAAAAGATAGCAACAGAACTTGACAAGTGGTGAAATCGATCAAAGCAGACAGTGCGTTACTTGTCAGTTCCATTTCAACTAAAATATTTCATTGAAATTTTTCTTCAGAGAATATTAACCTACAGCACTTTAGACATGTAAATCCTTTTTCTAAGACTCAACCTTTGAGTGTAGGGAAAAGAAATTGACAGATGGCTTTAGACGAGCTTCCAACGAAACCTACCTATTGACTATACCCAACAAGTCACACTTGCAAGTGAGAATGACTAAATCAGAGAAAGACTTAGAGGGAGATGCAAATGTTTACCAGGTCTTCAGGTCTTTTCTTTCTATCCCTGTCTCATTTCTAATGTCATTAGTGACATCGACAGACCGCCTATTGTAGTACGAATATTTTGTTTTCCAAAATTAATCATAGTGAAATCCCACAACTATATGTCTAACTTCAGTTATTCTTACCTCAGACTGCTTTTTTGCAGACATCTACTTTGAATCGATGTCTTGGCGAGAAAGAACAACCTCACTGGCACTGAAAGTAGACTAGTGTTGAATGTTGATTGGTTGATTTGATTCTGCAGGCAAAATAACATCCCTTAACAGAAACTAACTATTGAACAGATCAACCAATCACGGGACAGGGTCTCCAGTCTAGTGTACAACAATCAAACCAATCGCAACGAATTGACCTCAGTATATTGCTTACAGAAAAAGAGGGTCAATCAATTATTCAGCCCGACACCCCCCTACAAAGACTGTAAGCTAAAATCAACTAATCAGGTTCAACAGCTACCCTAGGACTCACCAGTCTACCAATCAGATTAGACTGAGGTCAAGTGGCACATCATAGATATCTACTAACAGCCAATTATCTCACTCAGTTGTGATGCATTGCTGATGTTGTCTAGCATGATAGTGAAGCATTTACCGATTGAAACTACAGCTCAGAGAACACATCTAAGTTAAATGGCTACTCTCGAAACTTAGCAATCTCATATAACGATTAAGTATAAACAATACTGGTTTTGAAATTGGAAAAAAAATCGATCAATAATTACTTACTCATAGTTTCATTAATTTCATCATTTTTATACTCTTTCACTACTATATTGTCGTTAACCTTTGTACGACGATTTTTACATGTGTTTCTTGTTAATCGAATATTTTGTGTTCCATGTATAGCATAGGTCAATAATAGCAATAAACAGACAAGAATGATAATTACTAATCCAATACCTAAACCAGTAATCAAATCAGTACTATTATATTGATTGGTATTGACTGTATCCGATTCACCAGTATTCATCATGATTCGATAATTTGATATTAATTTCTCCATATCATCATCATCATCATCATTATCTTCATTAAGTGAATTTGATTGAAGAGAAGACGGAAATTTTGTATTGACTGATTGACTGTACTTCATTCTTGAATTAGAATGTGGATACATTTGAGTATTGTCCATTTTCAATAATTTTAACTGTGGATTATTATTATTATTATTTGAATTCAGACCAACTAATTGCTGTTTATTGTCTCTCTTAAAGTCAGTTAAATTAATCGATCGATCAATAAAATTTAAACGATTCTTTGTGTTATTTACTGATACAGGATTGAGAAGTCTTTGATTATTATTATCGATTAGTTTCTGTTTCTTCTGCTCTTCTTCTTCTTCTTCTTCTTCTGTCATAGCATCAATATATAAAAATGCATAATTTCTTCTCGATGGAATACCACAATCTTCAGCAAAGACAACTAAACATTTAGGTATTTTTTGTAAATTATCTAAAGTAATCGGTTTATTGATTCGTATTTCACCAGAATTTTGATCAATAATAAAATAGTCATTTGTAGATCTATTAGTATCATTTTTACTTATGGATTGATGTGAATTATGAGTTAACTGCCAATATCCTTCATATACTTGAAGTTTATAAATCACTTTACCATTATTACCATCATCTGAATCGATAGCATGAACAGTATAAATCAGTGTACCAGGATTTGAATTATCTAGACGAAGAATATTGATTCGTTCACTTGGTATATTAGGTGACATAATTTTAGGAATACTCAAAGATGATTGGCTGTTATCTTTCAGAGTGAAATTTAAATCATGATATGAAGGTTTTAAAAATTTAGGTGAATT